TTCTATTTAGATGATCGCAGTATCTTGCAGTCCTCTTTTTATTGTACGTATGCAGTAGAATCAATTTAGAACCAGATTTCCATTCCCGTTGTAAGCATTTTAACCTCCCGACAAGATCAAGGTGTTTCGAACACATGCACGGCTTCGGACCTGCTATCTTCATGGCTCCAGTTATAAATTTATAATATCTCTTCTAAAATTCTCCTTTTAAAAAGCTCATTCTGCAACACTGCATGTAGCTTCTATTAAAAAATGCGATAAGTGCTATTCTGATTATATTCGCATATCAAATAGTGAAGTCGACAAATTCATGCGTAGTAAATTCAAATTCATACGCACATCGCCATGGGTTAATCGGTTCATACCAAATGCTGTGACTCGATGAAGTATGAAAATGTTGTCATTGTAAGCAGATTTTTAACGAAATATTGCTGTATATATATATATATATATATATATATATATATATATATATATATATATATATATATATATATATATATATATATATATATATATATATGTAATTTTATATTAGGCCACATAAAATAAATTACTTGTTTAGCGTCCCCGGACCTGATAAAAGTCCCCGACCTCCATTTTTTTTTTTTTTAATCCATCCGAGTTTAGTGCAAAAACTCTCTATAAAAAAGACCGTTTTACTCGAAAAAATGGTGATTTTATCCTTCTGGGAGCTATGTAATACGTTTACACAAAGTTTCCTTCCAAGAATATGCCTGTTCGCAGCTAAACAGTTCGCGCGTGACCGCCAAACGGTAATTTTCTGTTTTATTAAAAACATGAACTGTATTTAAAAAACATGAACGGATTTTGAAAGAATTAAAGTGAGTTTTGACTGTGGTAGTATACTGGATTTTCTGCATTTAGCACAATTTTGTGTTAAAAAAAAACCCCGCCCGTCCGACCTAGAAAAATTAAAATGGGTGGACGCCAAACAAGTAATTTTTTTTATGTGGCCTTAAATGAGAACATACTCAGACTGGATTATCACAAAACCAACATTTACTAATATGGAAAACAAACAACCTGGTTTACTTACTTGATGCCGCCGTGAGTATTGCCAAAGAATTGCGGCCTAACAGCTAACAGAACAGGACAGCGATTCAGTGTGGATATCTAAAACCACATAATGTTATGTGTGTTTGACATGCTTAATCAAAATATTTCTGGTATTTCCGTTTACTCATATCGTATTTCGAAATGCGCGACACTTGGCGGCTTGACACAAACGTTTATTAGGGGGATTGAATGACAGTGTTGTGTTTGGTGTACTGGACTCCATCACAAAGCAAGATCTTAATTGCAACAGAATACAGAGAGAATTATGCATTTACAAAATATGGACAGCCTCGTTGACGTAGTTTCCAACTTTCATAACATGCACACTTGCTAATCAAGCTCAGATCACTAATTGCCACAACTATAGTGTATCTTCCCGTTCCCATGATTAAAAAAGGACTGAAATTTAAATTGTTTTCAGATCCCCACTGGGATACCAGGATTCAAACTTCTGGTATTGCGTCTGATAATCCAGTATCCCACTTCTGAATACAGGTTAACACAGTTTTTGAAGCCCGTGAATATAAACATTCGTTATACAACATTACGAATAAACATCTATTCAAAATATACTACTATTTGTGTGTGCAGTAGAAGCGATTTAGAACCAGATTTCTATTGAACTCGTAATCATTTCAAGCTCCTGACAAGATGAAGGTGTTTTGAACACTCTTCGAACCGGCTATATCTTCTCAAATTCTCCGTTTAATAAGCTCATTCTGCAACACTGTATGCAGCTTCTATTAAAAATACGCAATAAGGGCTATTCTTGAGGCTGAAGCTATTCACATATTAAATAGTGAAGCCGACAACTTCACGCGCAGCAAAGCCAATGAAAGGAAGAATAAAAGCAACAGGCACATCGCCATGGGTTAATCGGTTCATAACAATTGCTGTGACTCGATGAAGTATCGAAATTTTGTCATTGTAAGTAGATTTTTAACGACATAGTGCTGCATAATTATGTAATTTTATGGCATTTTAAATGAAAAGATACTCAGACCGGATTATCGCAAAACCAACACTTACCACCGAAGCCAAATTGTTCAACCTGCTCAGAAACTTCGGTCTTTAAATTGGAAAACGCACAATATCTTTAATTTCTTGATGCCCCCGTGAATATTGCCAAAGAATCGCGGTCAAAAAGCTTGTTGAACAGGACAGCGGATATCTAAAACCATCTAATGTTAGATGTGTTGACATGCTTTAATTAAAATATTTCTGGTATTTCATTTCACTTGTATCGTATTTCTAAATGCTGGACACTTGGCAGCTTGAAGATTCATTCCCAAAAAAACACATTGTCCAATATCCCTGTTTAGCCCTAAACTCCATTGCGCACTTTAGAAAGAGCCATAACTCAGTAGAGTCTTTATTTTAAATTGGTTTGACCTGGTTATTCAGTGTGAAAACTCACGAAGCGAATACAGACGGAATGCATTAACAAGAGGGTGGGAAAGGATATTTTCTTGAGCCGTGAATGGTCAATATATTTGTTCGTGTCAGGGCATTTTTTAAGAAATTACAACTACTGTGCCAAATCTCAATGAGGGCCTTTTCCTCACTCTGTTTATACAGGTACATAAAAATCACCTTGTGTTCAGGCGCAGCGCTAGCGCTATTTAAATAGGGGTTGGGTGTGTGTAAGTGAAATATTGCCTACTAATTTCAAACGCTAATTAGTATTTCTTTTCCAAAATTGTTGGCGAGCGAACTGGGGGTGGGGTGGGAGGGGCTTCACGGCTCAACATCACAAATTTTCCGGACATTACACTTTTTATTTTTGTTTGGGTTATCGTAGCATTGTTTGTTTATTTTTTCTGCGATTTTAGCTAGCATTATTAGTTTTTATCAGTGTCAATCAAATGTTTCAGTTTCTTTCCTTTCTATTCAACTTGGATTTAGCCTGCGTAGCAGGCGCTATTTAGGGGGGAGAACGAGGGTGGGAAAAGCTATCGGAATGCGAAGGCGAGAGAACGGACAGCGCGAGGAAAATTTTTGCCGACCACCTGATGATTGGGGGTGTTCCACACCCACAAACCCCTTGCCTGTTCTGACTTTTATAAAAGTGAATTTTGAAAATGTGAGATGATATGAGAAAGCAGGAAGATGCAGCTTTTTCAAGAAGGTTAAGTGCTTATGAAACGAAATTTTGCCTCATTTTTATTTGTTTTATTAAAAGATACTGCTCAAATGATGAAGAATGATGCTTACAGTTTATTCGTATCTCATCTCGTTCCCAAGTTACCGCACTTTGTATATTTTGAGATGTGACATCACAAGAAGGACTTGAAATAATGGCAATAAAAAGAAAGTCAGATATCTTGGTCACCTTTTAATAAAATTCAATGAAACTTGGCACACTTAGTGGGTATAACAAAGTCAACAATTTGTGGTTGTCATGGCAACACACTCGTACCCAGTCCCTTCTCTTCCAAATTTTTATGTGATCCATTTCCAACGAAATAAATAGCAATTTTTGCAATTTTCGCTCATTAATATAATACATGTAGCTATTGTAATCAGTTTGAACCGTTATAACATGCAAACATCCTCTGCCAGAGGTTTACAGGGGGACATTTGTAAAAAGGAAGAGAAGAGACTGGGGACTAGTCTGTTTCCATGGCAACAACATGACCTTCCAAAAATATTCAAATGGTACATGCACTAAGTGTGCCAAGTTTTATTGAATTTTATTCAATACTCACCAAGATATCAAACTTTCTTGTTACTGCCATTATCTCCAGTCCTTCTTGTGACGTCACAACTCAAAATATACAAAGTGCGATAACTTGGGAATGAGATGCGATACGAATAAACTGCAAACGTCGTTTTTCATCATTTGAGCAAAACCTTGTAATAAAACAATAAAAAATGAGGCAAAAATTTCGTTTCATAAGCATTTTAATTAACCTTTTACTAATTATCAAAAGGGCCCAGTTCATCTGAAAATCACGCTTCACTACTGGGGCAATTAAGCAAAGGGCCTATAGAGGTAAATGCCCAAGTAGTTATATAGTTAAAAAATTAATGCCCTGATTCGTGTGAAATGTGAAATGCTTGATTTCAGTGTCGTGAAATGTGATTTGTTCTACAGTCGTGAGGCGTGATTGTCGATAAAAATGCTCTGTGAAAAGAGAATTAATGATGAGTGTTTCGTGAACTGTAATTTTGTTTGTTTATTTCGATCTATTTTATAATAGTCATAATAGACATAATACGCGATAAAATTTATATATGACCGACCTCACTCGATTGCACAAGAGTAAAAACTTGGGAGGCCTTTCGGAGGTCGTCAGACGTACTCGTCATTCAACATTGTAAGATATAACGTAGTTTTTAACAGCCAGGTAGAGAAGTGAGAGAACTTGAAGCGCAGATACTATAACATGCATTAAACATACTCTTAATAATTATTATATTATTTTATTTTATTTGAATCTAGTTTTCCGTGAAATTTGAAATTGCTTGTTTTAGAGACGTGAATTGTGAAATGAAGTTTTTTTTCGTTGTGAGACGTGACCCATATACCCCCTCCCGTCCCCCTTTCCCGTACCCTCTCACAGAATATGGAGAGCCATGCTGGCTTAGTTGCGAACTTGCATAACACACTTGCTAATCAGGCTGGTTATTAATTGCCAGCACTATATATAGTGGATCTATCCATTCCCATGACAAACTAAGATCTGCCAATTTTAAATTGTTTTCAGTACCCCACTGGGATACCTGCAGGATACAAATTTCTAGTATTGCATCTGACAATCCAATATCCCACTTTTGGATACTGGGGAGCACAATTTTTTGCAACCCTGAACCATCAAAGAAGCATATATTATATATCTGTCTCTTATCATTGTTAGGAATTACAACAACAACAGGATACACCGCAACAGTTGATAACTAGATCTAGACCACTTAGTTGGAAATGAAAGGCTGGATATTTTCAAGATAGCATATGCTCATAATAATTATATACTGTACAGGCATTGAATGATTTTATTCTGGCCGTTGTGGTTGCGCTGCCGTACTATATCGTAAGGTCGCTATTGTCAAAGGCTGGACGGTAATAAAAACGAGTAAAAGTTCCGGACCATACAGCCATTTTGATGTCTTCCTTCAAGGACAACATGCCCTACAGCTTTGGAACTCGACGTGAACCTCGTCGAATAATCCTTAAATATCCCAGTGTCTTCTCTAGCGCTATTTATGATGCACCCAATCCAACAGGCGATAGAACAAGACTTAATTAGATGATCAATCTAACCACGAGAACTGAAGCTTTGCGGCTGAAGTAGAAACGATATCCTTAAAAGAAGAGCTGTTATCGATCTTTTGCTTCAAACAACCATCACCTGAAACAAGGCTTTTTCATAGATATCTTATATAGACTATAGATAGCACATCTTTTTTAGTAAAACTGAAGCCAAGAATATTCCAGCGTTTACCCCCATTTGAATAGATGGCGGCCATGTTGGTGTTTCCCAATCGCTAATAAACTACGCGTAAAAAACAACAAAAACTTTCATCATTTGAATAGTTTAAAAATGTATTTGGAATAGATTTACCTTAGTATTTAAGTTTCGTGTTTACAAAATAGAAAACGAACGAATATTCTCATTTTATGGGAATATCCCGAGTCTGCAATCACGGCTTCAATTTTTGAATTGTGGAATAATTAGATGCACTATCTGGTGTGTAGGCCTATAAGATATATATGGGATTGTTACCATGAAATGATGACAATCTCAGCGACTTGTCAGATTATAGTGATGATTGACGAAGATGTCAAAAATCCATCAGAAGTATTGTGGTGAAAGAGGCTGCTTGCAAAAACTGTCTTTCATGCGCATTTCGCTTGCAATCACAGAACAAATTATGCTCCATGCCACAATCTGTTTGTAGCTTACAAATTTTTAGTAACACTAAAATGCACCTATAATCTCAATTATATTTACCACCTCATTCTTAAGAACTTCTAAAATGATATAATAACTTATTTTGAAGATTTTCTGTTTTTGTTTGGTATGCAAATAAATCCGGAAGTGACGTCACAAATGCTTAATGATTTAAAGTATAGAAGCTTGTATATCTTAATCACCATCGAGTTTAATTCATTAAATGAAGAAGTTTGGAGTTGTGGGAGGTTTACATAACCATATAGAACACCATTTAGTCTTTCTATTTCATGATATCTTTAACTGTACCTTACATTTTTTGATCAGTCATTATTCATATGTGACGTAAATTCCGTACATTTGCATATCAATAAAACTAAAAATCTTCAAAATAAGTTAAAATATAATTTCAAAAGCTCTTAGGAATGAGATGTTCAAGAATTGAGGCTAAGTGCACTTTAAGCGGCACACAATGCTCGTATGAAAGGTCATTCTCGAAGTTGAAGCTAGTCAAGACAAGGCTAAGATTTTCGCTCACGCAGGAACACCTTGAATTCCTAATGATCATTGCCATTGGAAAGGATCTTGAGCCGAAGAACAACAAAGAAAAGATCATTGCCAAATTTGTAATGAGTTCAAAATAACTGAGCTCTTTATTTTTACTACAAACTTTCGAAAACTGGTCATCAACTCACAATTTATCAGTAAAGGCAGGTTACAGTCCTTTCTGCGCATGCTCGAGCTTTGTTTAAGTTTTTTATCCACATTAATTATATAAGATGAAGTATATGTTGTGACCGAGGAGTGCAATGTTCGACAATACATTGACAATACATGAGTGCAATGTTTTGACAACTTTGGACGCCTTTCTCCACGGATACACTACCTGCCCTAACTTTGGACCTTGTCGAATGACCATTAAATATCCCAGTGTCTACCAGTGCGCTATTCAGTATGAAGCTACAGTAGAACACGACTTGACGGGATGATGAAGTCTGTGAAAACTATTAGAAAGTTGGTTAGGACTGCTAGGGTCTGGCTATGACTGGTCTAAATGAACCAATACGTGATGCAATATAACACTGTAAACAGAGTACGCAAAGGTTTTCACATTCTTCATATTTGGCGAAAAACAATGAGGTTACCTCGGAAGATGTTTTATTCAGCCCTTGCAATTTAAACTTTAATTCCCCCTCGGGAATTATAAGGCATGCACATATAGCGCAGGTCAAGAAGTTTAATTAAGCTCTGAAGAACGTTTGGGACTGTAAGAGAATGCAGTATAGTTAACTTCTCTGTTAGGAGTTGCAATGAGAGGTATCTGTTCCTAGGAAGTGAGCGCAAGTAAACTAGCACAGTATCCACGCTCCATGATTACCGATAGCTTCAAATATATATGGAGCTCACGGTTTGGGAAGCAAGAATACGGTACATGTAACTGTGGCCCAACCATTTAAATAAATATAACTGTATAACGCTATCTCCAAACGGAAATGTGAAGCTTGAAAGGCAGTCCCAGTCTTTTGACGCACGCAAAAGCGTTCAATCAGTCAATGATGACATACATACTCGCTAAGAACGCGTGTTTTCACGCGCCGCGTGTCTGGATATCAGCTTTGGCTTCTGAAAGTGTAGCGTACCAGTTATATTCCTTATAGTAAAAAAACCAGGTGCTTTAATTTGGTTTGGTAAGCCAGTTGCCCTGTCCATGGTTTTGCAAAAATGGATAAATTTCGTCTCAGCAACGTGAGCTGGCTCTTTAAATACATATAAATATTAGAAATACGAGACGAGATTTAATTAGACCAATGGCAGAACGCAATGATATTAAAGAGGATTCATACCTTCAAGGCAAGGGAATCACATCTTTTATAATGAACTTCTGTTATAGGCTATTTGCAGGCTACATTTTTTAGAAAACAAATTTTCGGATTCAAGCAATGCACATGCAAGCGGTCATTGTATACTGTATTCCAAAATTATACAAACAGGTTGAAGGAATTTATATAGTGTCAACAAGTTTTCTTTGTGTTATTTTTATTACATATGATTTCAGTATTTTAACTTTATGGTAAATTACCGAAAAATGCCGTAAAATGCAAAAATAACCGTTTTGAAATAGGAAACTTAAAAGAACCCAAGCCAAATGTTTTCCCGGGGCTATAGGGTACCAATTCCACACGGCTATTTAGTTCCGGGGAGAATATAGCATTTAGAGAGATAAGAAAAGAGAAGAATTGATTTACTATGGCCTATGGGAAATATAGATTTTCTTGCTTTCGTTTTTTTCATAAAACTTGAACTGTATACGTACTTTTCAATGAATTACGCTCTTTATATATAATAGGAGGGTAAATTAAATCGAACACCGAACTGAAATTACTTAACCATTTGATTACAGTTTTTCGGCAAAGCAGTTTGGTTCAATAAGAAACATTTCAAAACATTTTACAATTTTACGACATTAAGACAAAGCTAACGATGCGAAGACGGGCATTTTCAGCATTTTTCGAATGTTTGGCAACAATTATTGAACATGAGACGACGTCATCCGAAGACTGGCGAAAAATCCACAGATTTCATTCGAAGATTAAAGAAAAATTAAACCGCCCAAAGCTCTGCCAACAGAGCGACGCGGTCAGGTCGGTTCGAGTATGCGATATTTCGGAACTGAGTCTAGTTCCTTCGATATCAGTGTAATCTAATAATCATGATATTTGCCGGGCAGGCTTGAAAAATATGCCTGGCTACGGTGGGATTCGTAGGTTCGAATCCCACCGTGGCCAGGCATATTTTTCAAGCCTTCCTGGTGTGGATATACACTCAGAGTAAAATCACACAAGCATCTTATTCACCTGAGTACATTACACCAACACAGCAAATAAAAATTAACCCAACAAAATTTAGACTCGATGTACCACAGGTATACCCTGAATAACTACATGCTGTTGTCTGAGAAGGTGGTCACACCAGGATGGCCCACGTAGGTAACTAGCGGCTACAGTTTTGACTTGGAAGCTCGATGACCCAGTTCTTGACACAGATCAGCATAGTCACAATAGAGTATATTGTTATTGGACAGCATGAGCTCCACCTTTTAATTTACTATAAGAGTAAATTGTTAAACACGTCCGTATTTATCAATATGATATATTCAGGGCACCTAACTCCTAACTTCTAACCATAACCCCAACCCTAAGTCTAACCCTAAGCACAACCCCTAACCCAACCCTTATCCCTAACACAAATCTAACCCTAATCTGACTTTTTTGAACATCTCATAGACGGCTAAGATAAAGATTCCGGTTTCTAATGTATAAAGCAAACGTTCAAAAGTCATTGTGCAACATATTTGCCAAGTTTACGATGTACAGAATTTTATATTTCGGTAAGGAAACGCATTCAAGTAGCGAAATGTTTAAATATGTATGGACGTTTCTCGCAGTTTATTTCAAATGGAAACAAGTTACAGTTTTAAGAATTATTGGAATCAGATGAAAGAAAGGCAACAAACATACATTTTGTTGAGAACGAACCTATAATTTTAATTACCTATTATATATTTTAAATAGACGCGAATAAGTAATAAGATCGACTTGAATAAGTAGATAAATTGCATAGTCGGGTATTTGCATTGATTCATTCGTCCGTTGTGATATATTACAAAAAGCAACATTGAGCTTTAAATAGGTCACCAATTTCTGGATGACCCTGACCCATAGCTCCATGGGACCACACAAGTAGGCTTACATAAATTTGATATCCATGTATTTATCGAATGCATAACATTGTCCCCTGTTTACTTGTTCCATGTCATACAATACAGTGCACTGTTAATTTCAAGGAGTTATTTTAACTCTGTCAGGAGTTCAAGGAGTTATTTTAACCTATCAGCCTGGAGGTTTTTCGGAAGAGTCGGAGGGGCAAGCGAAAAGACAAAATGTTGTTCTTCCAATATTATTATTAGATGCCACTAAGGAAAAAGAAACGATCATGGGTCAAACCATTCCTGTAAGAATAACAACTCATAACTACAATTGCAAGAGGTTTCGGAATAAATATGAAACGTCCGATTTTAACTTGGTTAAAATTCCACCAGATGAAGCTGTTAAATTTGAACATGTCCCAAAAATAATGCTGTCTAATGTCATGTCACTCGTTCCAAAAGTTGACGAAATTCGCGAATTTATTCACCGGAATCAAATCAGCCTGGTATTTATCACAGAGACCTGGCTTAAAGCTTCTATT